CAATATTTCTAATTAATTTATTATCGCTTATCTTGTGCGATAAATCGCGTACAGTGCGAGTAAACTGTTTGCACACACGGAATTTGCCACTTTTTGTTGCACACATGTACCAAGAGGAGTGGCTTTTTAGTACATACTTACGACTTTGCTGGTAATTTGTCTGACGCTGGTTATACGAAGTCGTTATCTCAGCGGCTGATATTGCAACTTATTTGTTGTTGCTTCTATGTATCTGCAGGAAATTTGCACTTTGTACTAGCTTTGTATGCATTTTGTATTTCGGCACGGCCGGCCGGCTAGATAAAGTGCGTACGCGCCGGTATCGACGATATTGTTGCTGGCCACCTCCACCTCCACCTACAAGCCATGTACAAATCTACTGACTGGTCCACAAAGTTCCCATTACCACAGCCTACATGCTTAGCTACCTCCAACTCGCTGTTCATGGTGTTACTTGACCGTTGACCGTTTTGTAAAGCAAAATGCATTCAACCACATATGTTGCAACAATACAGCCCCCGCCCCCTTTTTTTTAGGCAACAAACAAATGGCTGCAACGTGGCAAATGCGTCGAACAAATGCCAGTGACCAGTGACCAGAAATTTGCCACATTTGCGTGGCAGTGTGAAAACAAAGCGACGACGGCACACACTCACGCCTGCATTGCTTGCATTGTGCGTAAATGTGGAAGAGTATTTGCTTGCGAAAAGCTCACGCACCGTGCAACAGCTTCAATTATTTCACTTCACCGCTGGGAGTTTGTGTGTATTTTTGGTTTACTCTGTTTTTGTTTGCATATTTTCCTGCTGATTTGGCTTCATTGCACTTCATTTGCTTATCATGGCCATTTATGTGGATTTACGGTTGTGCAGTTGTAAAGTAAAAGGCGTATTTATTTGAAAAATATTTCATAATATTAGAAGTGTGTTTTTTGGCTGTTATCTTAATGTGCGACCTCAAATTTAAGAGACGGAATATATTTGGGGGTTTTAGTTATGTATTTGGAACTAAATATTTGTGAAATGTTTAGTACGACAGTTTTTTATTCTTGAGTCATTTACGCTTTCATATTATTGTGACAGAGGAATCTCTAAGTGGTGGTGAGGAATCTCTAAGCAATGAAAGTAGTCGATATTCTTCAGTTCTTTATTGGAGGATTGTTCCGTGCCCAGAAGTCTACGTCAGTCGACAAAGCTTTTGACTGCCATTCATCCGGGAGTGGCCAGAATTGATTATTGTACGTACGGTTCGAATTGCAGCTCACTACGTCCGTATATTTATATCTACGTATCCACTTGGTGGTGAACAAACACTCATTTGGGGCCGAGCTAAAGTGACAAAGCGTAAAACCTCACGTGCGCTGGTTTTGGGTTCCGCCATGTTAAAACTGCGCCCCAAGAAAAAGAATAAACAGCCTCGGATGAGACCCCCTCTTTTAATGACAACTACAGCAAACGTATACTACGATTTGAGGGTATTAACCTGGAATATACGGACTCTTAATATGAAAGGCTTCGCCGAAGCCCGAAACTTGATAATATGTAGTACCAGGTTCCAGCATAAAAAGATCCATCGAAAGACGAGAAACTAAATCCATCGTGAGGTGATAGAACAACTGGTACGATGAGAAGTGTCAATATGCTGCAGAGAAAAAAGATGCCGCCTATAGGACCACGGTGAGATTGGATGCAATGCGAGCCATATGGGACCGTTATAGGGAGCTGAAGAGGGAAGTGAGATGTATTCGCCGCATTAAGAAGAGAGAGACCGAAATACGTGAGTGCGAAGAGCTTGAGATGCTGGCCGACAGGAAGAACGCCCGAAAATTCTACCAGAGGGTTAGGCGACTTACGGATGCTTTCAAGTCCAAGGCGAACTTGTAAGAACAACAATGGCGACCTAGTGACCGATGTCCAGAAGGCACTTAAATTATGTAGGGAAGACCTTCTACTCTACTGAATGGTATCAGCACGGAAAGTTGTGGAGCAGATGAACCCAAGCCTCCTGTGAATGTTCCACCGCCTGACTTACGACGAGGTACGAATAGCGACTAAGTGGTTGAAAAACAACAAAGCTGCTGGAGCCGATGGCCCACGAGCTGAGCTATTCAATTACGGCGGCGAGGAGCTGATAAGGTGCATGTCCTCTCAAGCAGAATATGGTCAGATTAACGCATGCCTGACGACTGAAAGTTAAGTGTGTTCTGCCCAATCCACAAGAAAGGCGACCCCGCCATGTGCACCAACTATTGTGGGGTCAGCCCTCTTAGCATAGGTTACAAGTTATTATCGACTGAGTTGTGTAAAAGACTGAAACCGCTGAAACTCACCGAACGAACAACGATTGGGCCTTATCAGTGTGGCTTTAGACTGGCAAATCCATCATAGATCTGATATTCATGATGCGCCAAGTATTGATATCAATAGTAATGTCAGCCCTGAAATCCAACGGATAATCACGCTTGCCAACAAGCTCTACTTTGGACTGAATAGGCAACTGAGAAGTTAGTCCTATTTCATTTATTTTGGAACGAATATCCGTCTTCCCTTGTCAAGTTTGGTTTACAGACAAACCGGTTTCGGCATTGTGCCATCTTCAGTGTAATTTTTCGTTCGTAGTCCTCTTTCGTCGTACAAAAATCACACTCTACCAATAACTCATCATGTCCGTGCTGGTGTATGGCGCGGAGGAATAGACAAGGAAAATATTTTATGAGGCGGCTCTTGAAGTTTTCTAGAGAAAGAAATACCTTTGCGATATTTATAGTATAAATAAATGGTGGTCTGGACACACAACATTGCAAGTTGATAGAAGCGTTGTAAAATAACAACAAAGATGCGTAAAGATAAAGGCAAAACTTAAGACCTAGGTAAATTTAAAAACTTTACCTATGTAACCGCAAAGATGAAGGTGTAGATGAAGAAACTACCCTGCAGGCAAAAGCACCGGCACTGGATATATCACATACCTGTCTGAAAGAGAAGATACCGATCACAGTTCCGGTTCAATTATATGAAAACGACCGGCAACTTTAACACGGAGTTGTCATTGGCAGTGACCGATTGCCACCGCATAGAGACTCCGGTGGCAGAACTGTGACGACCTGAGAAAACCTGTCCCCTGGCAAACCCCGTTTACCCATTTCGTGACTTGTTTAAAAGAACCTATCACGAATACCTCCCTGCCCTTCTTAGAATTGATGATTTCTTAAAATTTTTTTACGTTATTTATTCATAGAAATGAAAGAAATTCAGTTATTTTCGAAATATATATACATTTTTTACATTTCGATTTATGTACATATGTACATATATGGGTCCTGTTATTTAATGTGCTATTCACTTATAAAAAATTAACGAGCATTAAACACGCAAAAGAATAATATTCAAAAGTGGTCATATGTCGACTACTACTATTTTGTTACATATTTTAAGCAAAAAATAATCAATTTAATAACGAAGTTAACATATTAATATACCCTTAGTCACAAAACTGATATACGATGATTAGTTTTACTATTTGCAATGCTTTTCATATTAAATATTTTTTTGTTAATCCATATTGTATTAAAATATGGCTTAAGGTTTAACAAACACTGTATAAATCCAATTTTTGAACTTTATACGAAATTTATGAGAAATTTGGAGTTTCACCTAAACCACAAACTTTTTAATAAGAATTTCAAAAAATCGAGTGTGCAGTTTTATAGCCCATTCAATTTTAGTATAATATTGTGCAAACTTTAAATGTCTTAAAGTTCGTGTTGATTTTTGATAATTTTTATGCTGTCGGTGTCACGCATTTTCTTCCATATAAAGAGAAACCTCAGAATACTTTATGTACATATGTATGTACTTTAAGACATTTAAAGTTTGCACATTATTATACTAAATTTGAATGGGGTATAAAACTACATACTCGATTTTTATTAAATTCTTATTAAAAAGTTTGCAGTTTAGGTGAAACTACAAAATTCTCATATATTTCGTACAAAGTTCGAAAATTGGATTTATACGGTGTCTGTTAAAACTTAGCCCATGTTTAATGCAAAATTAGCAAAAAAATAAAATTTAGTTTGAAAAACAATGCTAATATTAAAAGACACCATACACTTACTCAGTTTTCTTGTATCCTGTTTAGAAAATCATTGAATCATTAATATAAAGAAAAATATGTGAAAAATAATACAAAACTTCATTTTAAAACTAAGAATTCATCGAATTTCGTCAATGGAATTTAAAAGAGTTTATACTCATTATTTATTATCATCGCTGGTGGCATTTCTTTTATTCGTAAGCAACTTTTTTAACTGCCGCTTCTTTGATAAATGAATCGCTTTTCGTATTTTTTCTTCAGCACCTTCTGCGCCATATATCGAAATAACGCAATCTGAGAAAAAATAAAAATTAGTAAATTTACTTTCCACAATTTACTCTAGAAAACCTTTCATAACTTCAAACATTTTATACTCTTTCAATCGTTTCTTTCCATGACTACCGTCAATATTATATTCATAAAGAAATTCAGGCTCCAATAGTAGGTCAATGTTTTTCTGCAAATTATTACAAATAATTTTCTTAACTATATTTACCTATTAAAATAAAAATAAAACCAAAAGTATATAAATAAATTTAAAAATTACTATTGTAAAATTTTACAAATACTTACATAGTTTTTAATGTTAGAATCATCAATTTTTTGGTCTAGCTCTTTAAGTTCATTATCGCTTTTTATTGGGAAAGTGGATGTCACGTTCAAGTTTTCTTCATCTTGGAAAATAAGCCTATTAATTAGGACATTTTGTTCTGCCAAAGCTTCCATTATAATTGTATTTTGATGATTCGTTCTATCTGGAAAAAATGATCGGAAATAGTTTTAATAAAGATACAATAAATATTTCTTTGAACTTTGGGCAATGTGAGTATTAAGCTGCTTCGAAATATGCATTTACCTGCTAGTTCTTGGAATTTTTGATCAATTTTGTCCTCTAACCTTTTACAATTTTCACATCGTTTTTCACCTATAATAAAATGAAGTTAATACGTAAAACCTGGAAATCTTAAATGTAGTAAATATTTACCTTCGAGTAGAACCTGTTCGTCCTTTGAGTTAAGGTGCTTCAATGCTCGATTTTGCATTTTTGGGATTTCCCTTGAAAAATGTTGATAGAAAAGGTAAGTTAGAGTTTTATATAACTTATATATGTGTGCATGCAATTTGGTTTTCGATTGTTTAATTTAGTTGTGTTTGTTTAAAAGCAGCCATGTAGGATTGGAACTAACAAAATTTTGTTCTGATATGGTAAGCCTATACATTTGCATTTAATTTTGGATGTGGGAAAACTCTCCTCTAAGTCATTAATATTTTCATCGACTAAACATATTCCTAAAAGCTTTAACGAATCTATAGGCTGACTAAAAAAATGCGTTTGATTTAGAAATCGCTTTCCGATTACAAGGTTGTTCTCTTTATCAAAACTTTTGATTGTGAGGGGAATATCCGGTAAGATAAAGCAATAGTTATCAGGGAATTTGGTACTAAAAATATATTCTGAGGTCAAAAACTTTTTAACACGATTTTTCTCTTCTACAAATCCTTCCTGTTGTGATGAAATGCGACGGTTTTCGTGTTTAACGTTATTGTAAATTTGCTTGAGTACGCATTGTGGTTTTTTTACGTAGCCTTTTAAAATCTGAAGATAATTTTCGAAGCCATAGGCCGAAAAATTTTGCAAAACACCAAATTGCTTTACACACTCGGTAAGATGTAAAAGACTGTGTACATTATAGCTCACACTATTTTCTTTGAAAACTATTGGAAAGTTTTCCACAAATAGGCTTAGCATATTTTGACAAAGCGATATATTTTCTTCGTAGGATCTTGGACACGATAGAAGTCTGCATGAGCAGTGGAGTAAGAGGAATTCATAGTAGAGTTCATCATGAATGCTTCCTTTTAATGCCAGTATCCCTGTATAAAGCAAAAATTGGCGATATTCCGTTGCTTTCCAATGAACAATGTCTTCAAAACCTCGCGGTCGACGGGAAAATTCTAGTGGAATATACTTTCTAAGGGAGACTAATTTAGTCGAAATGGTACTAAGATTTTCCTTAGGAGCTTTGTACTCCAAACTGGTTTTGTTGTTCAGCAAGCGTATTAGAAATTTCCTTACCACCCCTAAATCAATAAGGTGCATAGTGTCAAGAGCAATTTGGCTTACCATTTTTATATTAAGAGTTTCCAAGGGAGAAGCCTCTGACCTAAACTTTTTGCTGAAGTGATTTTTCAGTCGCCTCTCCGTGAAATCTTCATCTGTAATTAGTTTGTCTGAATTTGTAGCGTACGTCAAAACCTGATCGATTTTCCGTGCTACCTGTGTACACTTGGAACAACCGTGGGAAGATGTGTGTCCAACTGTGCCACATATAAAAGCTGTAGCCGGAGCATCGCAAATCACCGCCCTCAATCTAAGCTTAACTATTTTATTACTAACGCAAATACCAGTCTTCGAAAGATTATCATATTCTTGAACAAAATCCAGCAAATAAACTTCTAAATCTTTTGGTTTTTGTTTTCCAATGTAAATACCTACTGGCAAAATGTTATTGACTTTAAAGTTTAAAATTCTTATCAAAATTGGCCAGAGTTGAACCCTTGAGCTTCTAAACAAAGGTATTCCGTCAACATTTATGTCGAAAACGATTTCTTCGAATTGAGAAACATAATCACCAAAAGACATTAATTGTTTTTCTATGCCAAAATGAGAATAAAACCCAGGAGGTACACTCTTAATAACCAACTTGCTTTTTTTTGGTATGAGGCTTCTAATATCCCTTGGGACATCGAGATTTTGTCTAGCAAGAATTGCAAGTATATCATTGCAACACTCTCTACTTGGCTTGTGTTTCAAAGCCCAATCTTTAAGCTGCTCTTTTAAAGAAATTGGACGCACACTGTTAGCAGGATCATTTCCAGAAACTATATTTGCATTTGATTGCAAATGAGACTCATAATCGCGTGGTTCAGATGCTACCGGGACACTCACTACCTCGCTGGTTGGTTTATATTGAAGTTTAGATAAAAATTCTTTTCTTTTATTGCTTACCAACCTTTTTAAGTTTCGCCGACTTCCCAGCATTTTATTTGATTTATTAATGTCCACAATTTAATAAAAACGCGAATCACTTCACACACGAAAATGCTTTTATTTTTCTTTTCTATAAACGTTTCACATGTAAATCAGCTGTTTCACATCTATGTGCCGAGCAAGAAGTTTTATTACGCCGAACTTATAATTTTCGATGGCCGGCTCATGTTTTCTAGAGTAAAGACGTACGGAAAAGTGTGTATTATTCAGGGACGGTAATTATTATGAGTAAAATAATTTAAATCAGCATTTAATCATTATTTTATGATTTTTATATTTTTCGCTCAACGGAAATGATTATTATTTGATTTTTATTTTTTCGATCACAAATAATGATTATTTTATGATTTTTATTTTTTTCGCTCAGAGATAATAATTATTATTGAGTTTTATTTTTCCGCTTAAAAACAATGATTATTTATGAAATTGAAAAGGCCATACAGACGCAACTTACTGAAATTTTGACGTGAAAATTTTGGAACTTATTCTTCCTATTAGGGTGTCGCTACCTCTAAAAAGGATACAACGGAAATCACGCTGCTATAGCTTTTGAGTTTTCCTGAATGATCATTATTCTTAACTGAAATATTCTTCTTAATCAAATATTAATTATTATTATTATTTTTAATTTATTACTACGAACACAAATACGTGAGTATAGTTATAACGGTTTTACGACGATTAAAACTTGTTAATTTTTTTTGTTAAAATTTAAAAAATAATGTTTATTTTCCGTCTCTGGTATTTTTAATGCCCTCCGCGTGATTATAAAGGCGGCGTTTTAATTATTTCGCCGCCGTAATTCTCCTATCCATTCGGCTTTTTTCGTACAAGCTAGCGAATGCTGAAAGTAAACAAAAGCTGAACTGATACCCACTACATCACCAAGAGTGGTCACCGTAGTGGCACTCTTTTCTCCTGTCAACTTACACTATGTGGCAAATTGTCACCGTTTGCCTGAAGGGTAATGAACATGAAGGTAAAAATAAAGATTAATATTAGAAAATATGGGGATGAGGATACCGATAAAAGTAAGGATGAAGATAATGGAAGAAAGATTAATACAAAGAAATATAGATAATAATATAGAGAGACACTCAATCTGGGAACTATTTCGGGATTTTATCGGTTTTGTTATCGATATTGTGATTGATTTTGCTATCGATGTTTTTATCGATATTTTTTATAGATTTTTTATCGATATTTTCATCGATTTTGTTATAATTTTTTTTTATCGATATCTTTTATAGATTTTGTTATCGATATTTTTGTTAACGATATTTATCGATTTTGTTATCGATATTTATCGGTTTTGTTGTCGATATTTTGATTGATGTTACAATCGATTTGGTTATCGATAGAGTATAAAGGTAAAAATGAAGATAAGGGAAAACAGAATAACATAAATGTAATTAGAACAAACAGGGTAGAGGTAAGGATCTATACATGTAGATAGAAAAAAGACAAAAAATATAACCCTAAGCAAAAGCAGATGTATGTACATTTGTGTATTAGTTATGAGTCAAACTAGATATGAGTAGTCCACTTGCAAACAGCGTTATGTGATTTTATAATAGTAAGCGATAAATAAAAAAAAAAACGACTAGCTGCAAATTTGGATAAACAAGGGCCTAATAAAATGATAACATAACATCACATCACATAACACAACATTAACAGTCTATACGACCTAAAACAGTTTTCTAAGTTCATCAGAAGATGGAGACTGTTGAAAGTTTATAAATAAGTATGAAAGCGACTTTTGTAAGAGGAGTTAACATTTGATGCTATTTTTTTTTAAACATAGAAAGATTTTGCACTGTGTTGGTAGTGGACATGAAACTACCTTAAATACTGGTACGCCTTAAATACTGGTACGGCCCAGGCGCACTTACTTTTTTTTATAACTAATTCAGTAGGCCTGCGATTTTTTTTTATTACATCTAAATGTATCAGTAAATTTCGCAGTTTACTACGGCCAATAACAATAAAGCCAACTGTTAAGTCAATAAATAACACAACAAAATACTTATAGTGAAAGGGAAAACCGGTATTAAACGAAAATCTATCGCAATGCAATAATAAATGTGCGAATTTTTTCCTGCTACCTCAGCATTTGGTTATCAATTTGCTATTTTAAAATCTACGCATGCGACAACAAAACTTTACAGCAAATGAAGCCACACAATCAAAGGATATATATGTACACTTAAATTTGTGCGTGGTTGCACACAAACAGACATACAATCATTTCCAGATACATATTTACGTACATACATGAACATAACATAGTTGGCATATTACTTTATACTTGGTGCTTTTATAATCAGTTGTTGTAGATCTTCGCCGTAGAACTACTTTTGCCCTGCACCCCTTTAAGGGGGAGAAAAAATTATATTCTTAACTGAATACTTTTCCTCGACGCACGTGTGTATATCATTTCAAGTCCTTTTTTGTTGTTAACTGCATGTGCATGTGTGTGTGGGTGTTTTATGAGTTCGTGTCATTTGCTGTTGCTGAGATTGCGCAAATATCGCTTTTCGTAGGGATTCTTATTTTGTTTTTCTCTTTTCTTCTACTTAGCCACCTTATCAACGTTCAACATCTTTCCAAGTGTAATTTAAGTTTTGTAATTTTCGCCAAACAACATTTGGCCAGTATTTTATTTTGTGTAATTTTATTTGCCACACTTGGCTAATTTAATAGCTCTGTCCTTTAGTTTGGATACTTGTACATTGTAAACATACATACATACATTCATACGTATGTTCGTACGAAAATGCCCAATTTTTCTCATTTGATTTGGTTAGCAATGGATAGCTTAAGCAGTCATAAAATCAATAGCTCTACATAATTACATGATTTATGGTACAGATAGTATGAGGCTATTTGTATCGAAGTTGATAGTTTTGGTAAGTAAATGGTTAGTTTTTGCTTAATTTGAAATCACAGTTGTGGCTACGATGATGTCTTAGATTCGTGTGTTCATTAAGTTGTACCGGAAAATATTTTAGAAAAATCGATTTACGTACGCTACCCCCATTAGGGGTGAATAATTTTAACACATGACACATTTGAAATGTGTAGCGATCCAACGCTAATAGTTTTTGGAGCATACCGGAAGGAAGCCTTGCTGGAGCCCTGTGCAAAGGCTGTGTACTGAGTGTATCGGATACCGGCTCAACTCCGGATCCACTCAGCCTTTGCCGGTTACAGCGAATCTCTGCCCGGGCGGACAGAGCCCTCTTTCTCCACTTCTTGTAGGAATAATTAGAATAGAAACACGATAAATGGTCATTAAAATGACCGATAGAAGCCACAATCTCCATCACAACCATCCACGTCAGCACCGAACTCTTCTATGAAAAAAGTCCACGAGGAAGACATATAGTAGGTGTAATGGAAACCACCAATATTAGTACCATGGTATGTCTTGGCACGGGATGTCCAAGGCTAGTTTCTCTCACAAAGGAACAACGAACTGAAAGTGCTGAAATCCAAACACCAAGACTAGCAAGCTGCGTAATATGTAAAAAATGGTTAACTAAATTTCGTTATTGTTGCACGCAAAAACCGCTAACGTTCTGGATTTCTGATTAACTACTCCTCCCCCTTCGCACATATGCTAAGAAGAGAGCAATGAAAAGGCAACATTTTTTGTAAAACTTTTTTCAGTGAACTTTTGGGTATGTCAAGTCAAGCGAGATTTCGGGTTTTTGGACGAAAAAATCCATATTGTATGGAGGTCAAAAGGTTAGGTTGCAGTGGCTTATGGTGGACACACCAGTACACTTAGGCCTATAGTAATATGACCGGTCAGCAGACCCGTAGCAAAAGAGATTTCTCCCCTGCTAAGCATTAGGAGTTCCCTCGACCTTTTCGCGTTCCATTCCGGCCACATGAGCTTTGCCGTACTGCAGGCTTCCAGCTGCTTCCACCTTTCGCCTGCTTCTGAGGAGAAGAAGACTTCTAATTGAGCCTGCAGGTGGGGAGCGGCATGCTCAACCTCTTCCAAGACGGCGAAAGTAGAAGGGCAGTGTCCTTCCTAGCAAGCTCATCCGCCAGCTCATTGCCTGGTATATCTCTGTGTCCCGGCACCCATACCAGGTGAAGAGTGAAGGGCAAAAAGAAATTCCACATTAATTGCAAGTATACAGAATTGATATCATCTTGCTACAGTGAACTTTACAAACAAAAAAGTCAATAGGGCTGTTCAGGATCTTGTGCGGATGATATTGCATTTGCGTGTTTTGGTGTATTTGTAAATTCACAACAATAAGATAAACAGCCCTAATATATTCGTAAAACTAGTTGCCAAAGATAGTAAAACCGCGCTCTCAATTTTCCTCTCTGATGTCAGGAGTCTTTTTCAAAGAACTTCGAGATTTAAAATGTATGTTTAGTTCAAAAAATAATTTAAAAATTTCAGTGTAATGCAGACTTAGAATATGGATATAACTTAAAAACATAATTCTGTGGAATTAAAAAGGGAAACAACTTTTTGGTGCATAAGGAAGAAGAGGTATTGAAAATGTCCTTTTAAAATGTTATCATTGAGTATCCTTAAACATTTTGAATATTAATTGAAAAAAAAAAATATATGTTAAGGTCTAATATACACGCGTTTACATCTTCGAATTTCATCGATCTGACTTTATTGGCTTATATTACGTTGAAATTGGCCCCATTTAACTTGTTAAATGAAAAAGAGCTTTTGGAAAACACAATCGTCCACATTGTATATTTGGAGTTAACTTTGACGGTTGTTTGATTACCAATAAAAATTAAAAAATATTCAAAATCAAGTTTTTGTGTTTCAGTTTGTTTTGTGCGAATGTCTGCTTCATGATATTAACGCATACGGATAACTTAGAGACTTCAAAAATGTTTAGTTCGTATGCACTATTTATCTCTGCGTTCTTGGGAAATAACTAATTACCGCCTTTGCCTCTTTTTTGGAGGGCAGACATGCATACAATTTTGATATTTTTTGATAATTTTTAATTTTTAATACTTTTCAGAATATAACTTTTTTGAACGTTGGCGTGTTAAATGAAAGCTTTTGGATCATTCTGATTGGTCGGAGCAGAAAGCTTTCTGATACAACTCTGCGCTGAACTGGTTTTCAAACGAGTTAAATCATGATACAAAAAAGAAGGTAGTTTGTCACTTTTCGGACGCCATATTAACTACCTGACAATTAAGCA